TTTTGAAACGAACACAAACCCTACCTTTTTTTTTTTTTTTTTTTTTTTTTCCGTGCGGAAATCCCCTCGGATACCACCTGTCGGTGGCATGTCGGACTCGAACCGACTAAAACCGCACGCCTTCGCCGGGTACTAATAGCCGGGGAACCAGGTATACCCTAGAAAGGAAGGCCCTGGTGCCCCGACATACCTCGGGTCATCTACAGACGAGTAGACGACCCCCGCCCCGTGTGGGAACCCCATGTTCCCTGTGCTCCCTGGAAGCGAGCGCGCTTCGCAACGCGCTCGCCGCCTCCCCGGCCTGCTTCTGCTAGGGTGACAGATGGCCTCACCTGTCACCCCCAGGCCTGCGCTTATGGAGGACGGAGGTCGTTCTGCGACCTCCGGCGCCTGAGTCGCCTGCGCTGCCTGGCCCGTGCCCGGGCCTGGCGGGCCGGGAGAGTTCTAAACCTCTCCCGGTCCCGCTCCGCCGTCTCCTTCGCGAGCATAACTTGCTCGCAGAAGGAGACGGCAGAGTTCCACGCACTCTCGCTCCGCACGATAGCCGCAATCAGGCTATCGAGCGAGAGAACTCCCACTCCGATGGCCGCCACGAGGTCTCGCCTCTGCTCAACCCACGCCGGGCACTCTGCCAGCGTGTGGAGAGCCGTGTCCACGGTCTGGCCATCGCAGTGGTGGCACTCAGGCGTTGGCTCCTTGCGGATCAGACACAGGTGATCTCCGAAACATCCCTTCCCAGTGATCACCTGCGTCAATCGGTATGAGAGGGTCCCGTGACGCCTCTCGAGCCAATCCTCCATAACGGGTCTTACCGCCGCAATGACGGCGTGCCCGGCGCTCGGTTGCCCGAGTCGTTCCCTCCACTCCCCTATGATGACCTGGCGGAGTTGGGATTTCCGGTCATCGATTTCTCGAATCTCGGGGCATCGACCCAACTCCTGCGCCTCCTTGCGCCACTGATACAGTGCCGCAAGGGCTCTCGCCTCCAGGTCCCACGGTGGAGTTCCGGCCAGGAGACTCGCTGCCTCAAAGGAGATCGTGCGGTACCCCCTTATGATCCTGATGGCCAGCATTCGCTGCGGTCGTCGCAGTATCGCGACGTTGCTGGCCTTCAGGGCCCCCGCCCATACCGGGCACCCGTAAAGGGCCATGGACCGCACAACCCCCGAGTAGAGTCTCCTGCAGGAGTCATCGGGTCCCTTCATGTTGGGCAGCAGCCGCGCCAACGCACGCGCTGCCCCAACCAACTTAGGGACCAGACCTCGGAAATGATATCCGAAGTCCCATCGGAACACAAACCCTACCTATATAAATTGTTATGTTTGTATACATAACAATTTATATAGGTACCTATATAGAAAAAAAAATATATATCTAAAGAAACAAAAAAGTATTCATAGTATCGTAATAAAATTTACACCACTTATATTTGCGTTTCACAAACAATTTATAAAGCTTGTTCGTATAAAACTCAGCAAGAAGTTGCGAAAGAATTCAGTGTATATTTTTATAAATAGGCATTCAAAACACGCAGCAGACTTTACATAACTATGTACCTAATAAATTGTTTGTTACTTCGTTTTGTTTGGTAAGGACACGAATATTGTGTAAGCTTATAAATTTTCATATTGAAGGCAAAGTACCCAAACCGGAACGAGAACTACTACTAGATCTATGTTGACAATTCTGCAAATATCTGGTCATGTTTCTGATTCTGGGCTTAAAATATAAAAGGTCAATTTTTTTACTTTCCGTGTGGTGACGGATTGAGAATACGGAGTATCACCACCTCAAATTCATCCAGTGGGTATCGTAAAAGCGGGCTGAGGGAGCAAACGGAGGACAATAGCACTGCAAAAAGAAAGCAAACTTGAAACAAACACTATATCAACCCGTTTGGACAGGGCGGTATAGTAGGCTAAAAGTTTCTTTCTAAGTAGAGGCCTATGTTCAGCCAGTGGACTACTGAAGGCTTTTGATGGTCTTTTGAAAGTACCTTCAAAGGGTAAACGAACAGACGAGACACCTGTTTGTAAGGAACTGCCACCACCGTTGTTCAACTCAAGAGAAACCTCTGATTCCTCACTCAAAGGGCGGTTAGGCATAACCACCCTTTGAGTGAAGAATCAGGGTGAGGTAATTTAAGGCCCCGGGAACCTCACTTACTCAGTAAAAAGCATAGAAAAGTAAGACTGTAAGACCTTTGGATAACTGCGAAAATATGTTGTTTCTAAAATAAAGTAAAACAATTTTCTGCCTTTGCTCTTTTAGCAAAAAAAGGTAATACAGTTATAAGGTTAATATGATCGAGAGACATTACTACTACTAATTAACTACTACTTTTTTAACAGTATTTTATACTATTAATGTATTTTTTTGGGTCTCAGAATCACCTATGTAGGTGCTATCTGAATATGTAAAGAAAAATAAAGACAAGACATTATATAAAAAGATTCTGATAAACTCTAACTTACTGCTTTCTTTGAAGTCAGTTACAAAAACAGTGAAACACCCTAAGTTCGTAGACTTTCCGACATAATTATGTTCTAAAAAGTACTACACGAAATGTAATACACATTTCGAGTAGTGCTTCTAACCTTTGCAGGTATTTTATAACCTAGATAAATAAATTATTTTTGCTTTTGCTTTATTAATGGATAGCATTAGATTACAATCCAATTAGACGTTATTCAGACAGTTATTTTGTCATATTTCTGACGACATTTACCCTATGAACAATCAATTCTTTCTTTATTCCTTTTAGATATCTGATTTTAATGAAACATGATTAATATTTTGCTCCCGATCTTTACTTTTTTAAAGTTCATGAAAATCTATTTAGTACTTTCGAAGATGAACACAAATAACAATCAAATAGACAAACAGTGTTTTTTTTTAGGAATCGCTGTTTGTGTTCCATCTGTTACTCTTCTTTAGACATCTCTTTTTGTCGCCTCTTTTTCTTTATATGTTCAGACACTGTTTTATTATAAGTAGGTATGTATGGCTGTGGACTGTTCTTTATTAAGTTTTATATTTTAATTAAATTATATATCATTATTTTTAAACTATTTATTAATTATACCTACATTAAAGTGTTCTTAGTACAATCTTATTCAAGTTAAAAATAGAAGCGAATGAAAATCTATTATTTAAATCACACCTATGAATATTTATACCCACATAACCATTAATGTAATTAATTTAAACATTCCTACTAAAAAAAATTTTAGTTCCAAAATACAAATTTAATCTTTCTATTGAGCTGTAGATACTTTTTGCATTGAAATTGCTGTCTCCGTATAACTTTCTAATAATAAATTAAGATCATTAATAATCAAGGTATTTACATATTAAGTTTATTCGCGGCATTATACTTAATATACATATACACACAGTACAGCGTACCTACTCAATGAGTAATTATGAAATTAGAGCAGCCAAGATAACTTTTTTTTTTTAAATTAATATCTAACTTCTTGCCAGTTTTGCCCGTATTATGATAAACAAAATATTGTAAATGTTGGAGTCTACTGTGTTGTAAAAAAGCTACTTCTATTTCTAATAAATAAAGTGGGTATCTTTTTTTTTAATATTTTTTCTATAAGCACTGAAAATCCCGACTTACTTATTAACGGTTGTTCAAATAAATAAACAAAATATATGATTGGTTTTTGCCAATAGTCTCAAGTCAAAAGGTATTACGTCCAATCACGTCAATTAGTTCAAAGGGTTATACAAACAAACATTACCGCTTAATTTACTAATTTAGTAGGTTTAAGTATGATCACGGTAGGTCAAAAAACGGTTTGTATCTTAAGATAGTATTACAGTAAGATAGAAAGTTTTTTAGTCACGACTGGACCGTTGAGTTCGTATTATAACAGCCTCTTGATGCTCGAAAAAGTTACTAATTAAGTATAAAAGTAAAAATTATTAGTAGGTAGGTACCTATTTTTCAAAGTCAAACACTTTGCACAATGCAAATAAATAGATAGTGATATTTACGCTCACCAAAAATGTTGTCTTATTGTTTATGTTCTAAATATTTAAGCATTCGATTTTTTATTACGAATGCAACTTGTATTTAATTCATCTATCTTTTGCGGGTTCAAAAATGTGTAACTTGTTTTCCATACTCATTATAAAAATTAAATTATGATGCCGTCACTTCATGTACTTACACGTAATTATTAAATACGTTCAATATTTTTACATAATACTTATATTAAAAAAATATTTTATATAATTTAAACACCACTTACCCGGGTATGAAAGATCCATTAGTTTGCGTGATATAGTTTTGTTTTTCACGCGCACTTACATCTACCCACATTTTTGTTATTTATGTTGTTAAACGGAAATAAGTCATAATGAATAAACAGCGGCGTTTGTCCGCGAAGCGATCGCTGTCGTGACTACCGTGTTTCGTTTTGTTATGAATGAAAGTTTCTGTGATACCTACTGTATTAAGGGCTTATCGTAAAATAACAATGCGCGCGCAAGAGAAACCCTTAAAATAGCTTAAAAGATCCTTTGGGTCTACGCTAATATGAAAAAAATCTCACCTTTGTAATAAAAGATCATTTCGATGACGCCTGTGAATAATAGATGAGCAATATTTATTGTTTTGCAACTAAAAGTGGCGGTGTAAAATATGACAGTGAAACTTTTTACTTAGTATAATTTAATTTGTTTAAATTAAAATTTTAAAATAAATAGTATCTTTTAATCAAATTAAAATTTTACTTATTATTATGAAATAAGATTATTTTCTGAAAATCTTTCATATTCTATTTTTTTAACTCTTTAGAAAACAAAAATATTTTTTCAAGTGGCAACTCAAGGGACGTGTTGTCAGAAAGTTCATAAACCTTTCAGAATTTATTATCTGTAGCAAAATTGTTGTGAGTCAGGCAGTTCATCGGAGTTTTATTTTGCTTTTTTTCCTATAATTCGGCTTCTTTATTTCGCCTAAAAGTTAGTTCAAATGATGTAAGATGGCTATAAATTTAGATAAACATAAAGAGGCGTTAATCGCTGCATGGAAGGACGTATTAGACGAGAAATCTGAAACCAACTGGTAAGACTAAATTTTAGAATCACCGACCTACTTGTCGGGGAAATTAAATAAACAGTCTTCACTGATTAAAATGATGAATTGAATTCATTAGCGTTGCGTTTACAATGAACTTCATAAGTGGTAACAATGACCTCACAAATGTTGCATAGTGCATTCACATGCATTGTTAATTCTAGTAATAATATAATAATCTATAGTAGTGTTAATGACTGTGAAATTAATTTCGTAAAAAAAAGAAGTTGATTTTTTACTTGTCGTAGTTATATAAAATCAAGAGAATTATTGGAATATTAGCTCAATACTTTATTCCATTCTATGCTTATGTAGTTCATATTTAATTTTAGTCTTTTTAAACAGTGTCTTAGAATTTAATTAGTTTTTTCTCTACACTTAACAATATTGTAATATGGCCTACAAAATAGTAATTAAGTCCATAAATCACCAGAACAAAATCTAAAAGCATTCTATGTGATGATAATTTGTTGGCAGGGCCTTATTTGGTTATGATGGGATGACAAACGACTTGAAATTTGTCAGTAAAGGTGATGGAGGGTTAATGGAACTAATAGATGACTTCAACAGTGGCAAAATACAGTATGCATTCCTCAAAGTTGACGTACCCACCGGGAGCATATCTAAATACGTTCTTATCAACTGGCAGGTAAGAATAACGGTGTAATAGTATAGATAAGATAGCAATGCTATTTCCATAGTCTGTTCATATCTTTAGGTCTAATGTATGAAGTTGTATACTTTTAAAATCCTAGATCATGATGATTTATTTTTTATTTTAAACTACATATGTTTATAATTGAACTTTAATAATGGTATTTTAATAACGAAAAGATACAGGGGCATAAAAATTTCTATAGTGTAAACTTTAATCTACTAGGAGAACTAATGACAATATGTAGTTTTTTCATGTGGCCATATGCTTTTTTACCACCTTAGTACAAGCTTCTAATGTTCCTTTAACAGAAGATATTATCTTATTATTGTCAGGTTGACTTGTGTTATTCTATTTAGTGCTTGTCGATACTTTATTCATTTTATGTAAATATTAGCTTAGTAGGAATTTCTTTTATTATTGTATTACTAGTTGACTCAGCAACTTGTCCGGTTGGACTATTTTTAGTGTACTAGACTGTGGCAGTACTATTAGAATAAAAAAAATATCTTTTCAATTACCAACCTTCCTAGTAATATGCTAAACTTTTAGAATTATATTTTCGATTAGATTTTCGTTCTTAAAATCTCCATTGACTATTGAGTTTTTTTAAATAAAGATTTGAGCACCATAACAAAAATCTGAAAATACAGTAATCTTTTTTGGTTTTAGCTAAATGTAAAATTGTTACAATTTTACATTTCATCAAATAGACTCCTTGCTTTGGGCTTCGCCATACTTGAATGATTGTACTTAATATTCATCATCACATCAACAGCCTTTAATAGTCCACTGGTGGACAAAGGCCTGTCTTTAGAAACGAGGTTTTGGCCTATTAAATGACGCTGGCCAGACGGCTTGGTATAGGGTTTGTGCCAACTTGTGTTACAGTGCTGTTGCTCTGCGTTGTTTGCTTCCTTGGTTCCGTTCTGACACTCCGTATTCTCAATCCGTCACCACACAGATACGTAATAATCAAATCAAACTCCTTGCAAAACGCACCTTATAACTTTTTAAATCTAATGTCTGTTACATAAAGGGCACCATATTCAAATATGTTAAATACCATAAACTGCAAACAATCAATAAGCTTTTAAACACACCTCTTATGTCAAATTACATTTAGCAGGTTTATGTGGAACAGATTAATGTACTAATATACACCCATACATGCTTAAATCATAACCCTCGTTCACCATAGTCAGGTAAAAAAGAAAATAAAGAGAAATGTTTCACTGCACTCATTTTATTTACTGTTATTATGTATATAATTAGACTCTTTTGTTTTCTTTTAAGAATAGTCAGAAAACAAGGGTAATGTTTACAGTTTTTATCATTCATAATTGCTATTGTTATACACTATAGTTTATTAATGCATAAGGCCTACCATTAAAACATCGAATAATTGAAAAAACAGTGTCTCGCCAAGAGCAGTACTCATAACTATTTATGCTTTTTCCTGAGAGCCCCATAATGTACGACGAGTACCATAAAAAGCATTATTGTGTCATAGTTTGAGCATCTTTGGATAAACGTTCATTTCACTTTTATAGAGCTTAAGCCATAAATGTGGTGTGTCTACAATAACTTAAACTTGGGCGTCATTATCATAAAATCGAATACACGACTCTCATAAGAAGCAGAATCTCTCCTAAAGTTCTATGTAAAAGTTGACGGTTAGTGCGTCATCTTGACAAGGGACACGGCTTTTTGACCGATGTGTTGACCATTCTAAATGGCTTGTGGCCTCTGTCGGTCAACAAGCCGTGTCCACAGAAGCATCCAAGAAAATTTAAAAAAGTGAAAGAAGAAAGTTGTGAGAAGTGTAAATAAAGTGGGTTGAATTTTTGCTAATATTGAAGTAACCGAATACGAAGCCATATGCTGTCGACTTTATTATAATTAAGTAATATTTATCGAACGCCAAAACGCTACGTGAATTACTATTGAACTAAGATGCTTGCACACATGCTCGTCGCCCGGCTCAAGGGCTCAAAGGACGGCAATAGGGATGGAATAAAATCACAATTACCTGTGATACATGTATACATTACATGATTTACAATCATATAATCACACCTGTGACCATGTAGAAAATCACTGCGTCTTATGATTACGCGATTTGCGTCTTAATCTAAATCTAAAAAAGAAGTCTTTGATAAAAAGAAAATTCAATATATTTGCTTTTTCTTTGCTTAATTTTGATGGCATTTATCTTTGTCTATGGCCATATCACAGTAGTGATTGACCACAAGTGAAATCGCAGTGACTCAAAGGAATCAATTCATCATACGATTATGATTTAAAAGTAGCAATAATTTCCATCACGCATTCGTGACCTCTAGGGTTGCAGGTGTTTATTTGCGGCGGTAGCCACTTAACATCAGGTGATGCGTCTGCTCGTTTCTTCCTATGCCATAAAAAAAATTAAGTCCGATTAGTCGATGGAGCCCCGCAAAAACTTGTACTGGACTCTGGTCTGGAATCTTGTATCTGTCGTTCTTTATGGGTAATAGTGTTTAAGCATTTAGCACTGAATAGGCCATTGTAAGTGGCTAACTACTGTTATGACACAATACTTACATTATCACAAATTGTCATATGTGTTGCGGTTTGTTATTGTAGGTATATACAGAAATAACATACTGTACAAAATACCAATAATAGCTATAAATATATCAAACAAGGATGAATATGCATGTCTGATATATCTACATATTTACATTCTTATCGGAAATCCGGAAAAAAAACACGGAATTCTGCATCTCAACTCGTATTTACTACCTAATGTTTACTTTTAATTTCCCCTATTCTATTTTTAACAGTTAGTACAACAATAGAGTTGCCTAAGCGCAAAAATAAGTTGTATTTTATCTTTTTTTTACTCTGGCAGGAAATTATATGTTTATTAGTGTAAGCATTCTTTTGATTATCATAATGCCCATAACGATTGTCTTCTAAAGTTGAAATTGTTTACTTTTCAAAATTGCAAAGAAATTTGCGATACGATTGTTTTTTTAGCAATTAGACAAAGTTGTGCAGAAATAATTCATTCTACAAAATGCCCCAAATGTAGAACAAGCTGCGTCTGCGGTATTTCCGGACCGATACGACCTTCAAGAAAAGAGCGTACTCCTTCCTTCCTAAAAGGCCGGCCTCCTGAGTTGCAGGAGTTCATGGGCGGCCATAGGCACTCTCTCGTCTGCCCCCTCTTCCATAAAAAAATGCGCCATATAAAACAGAAGGCACAAGTGTATAACACCCGATCAAACAATACATTGCAACCTGAAATATTAAAAAATCATTTTTAACTATTTCAACACATAAGTATATACGAGTAAAAAGATTAGTTTAATAAGCTAAAATAAATTGTGAACATAAACGTACATAAATGTACATAAACCTTTCAATAAATATTGTTCCATGTGTGTGTGGCTATTCCACTTCTGCGTTTGAGCTCATTCTTTACCTTCAGCTTCTCTACATTCTTTGTCTGTAATGTATATTTATATTGTAAAAAGAGATTCTATGCTATAAGTAATCGGAAAACAAATATACAATTTATCAAAGCCATCATTTATTGCATGGAACTGTGTACAATCGGTATTTATAAACTATTTCAGTCTATTAGTCAATTTTTAGGGTTCCGTACCTCAAAAGTTAAAAAAGGAACCCTTATTAGATCACTTTCTTGCCCGTCTGTCCGTGTGTCACCACCGATTTTCTCAGGAACGGGTAGACCTAGCAAGTTGAAATTTATACCAGATACTGAGGTCTATGGTTCCTATTAGGTGTGTAAAAATCAAGGTCCTGAATCAACACGATAAAAAGATATGGGCAAATTTCGATTTTCGCGAAAACTTGTAAGTACCAAAATTTACCTTAATTTTCAACTTTTTTTTATTTTCAGAATTTTCTCTTTACTTGTGCTGTAAGACTGCTTTTAACCAAAATTGACAATTCTAGGTCAACTGGCAGTACACTGTAGGTTTTGGGGCGAAAACCTATATGGTAGTTCTCGTTGACCTAGAATCACGAAATTTGACAAAAGAAACGTTTTACAGCACAAATAAAGGAATAATTTCAAAAATTAAAAAAGTTGAAAATTAAGGTAAATTTTGGTACTTATAAATTTTCGCGAAAATCTACGTAACATCTGGGTAGGTACGGAACCCTTGGTGCACGAGTTCGACTCGACCGGTTTTTTTTTATTATAAAAAGAGAATCAGAAAAAAAAACAATGGACCTCATTGAATGGCGTTTAGTATTTACATAGTTTAGTAGATCCTAAACATATCGATTTATAATAAATAATGTGTGCAGTGGACTGCGATAGGCTGATAATGATGATAAATCATAAAATGCAGTTGTGTTATTGAACTCGCAGTTGATACCGCGAGTTCCCGTTATATCGAAAAAGGGAAAACACTGAGTCGATAAACAAGTTAGTTGACCTTGGATGTAATGTATAATATACTTGCAATATTTATTATTTATTGTTCATTGTTTCTTTATCAGGGCTTGTCTAGGTATAGAAGAGATGAAACGCATATCTCTTTTGCCGAATGCTAACCGATCACTATCGATTGCATGTCGAAGGCGCGTATGATTTTTTTTTCACTGACTGTCACTAACTTATGTTGTATAAATAATCAATAAACATCTATTACACGGTAATATTTGTAGAATAAAAAATGTATTGAAATATTTGGTTTATATCCAGAAAAGCAAAAACGCTTGTCGTAAAAAATGACACTTATGCAGTTTTGTTTTCTCTTTATTGACATACTAACAATTACAGTTATTTGCAGTAGCAGATAAATTTATACAGGTATGATAGTCCGGTGCAACAATTACTTACGAACAGACAAGCACCGTATGCATTAAATTCATATTGTACTAACGCAAACATTTTTGTCTTGTTTCGACTCGTGCATATCGATGCAATAAAATTTTAAAATGGCCGATTTCATTATATATCTGCTAATAGTAGGGGAGCCCTAGAAGGGATTTCTGTATTTACTCGAGCGTGTCAGATTAACATAGGAGGAATACCTTACACCCAGTTGAGTGCCACACGTGCGAGTGTACAAACATGAGCCCTACATGTCATCTAGGGCAGCCAATGGGAGATCTAATGAGATCACAAAGTCACAAAGTTAAAAAAAAAACACATGACCTTGACATTTTTATTTTGAAGCAAACTGAAAGAAATCTTTAAATGTCTACATAATTATTCGTGCCTTTATTTGTCACATTTTATAACAAAAAATATAAAATCATAATATTTCAAACCGTCATATTTGAAATACCCAGCTAAATTATCGTCAGTTTTTTGGCTAGTATGACAGGGACATCAAGCTGAACCGTCTGTATAAAATCTAACACTCGGATATTTCGTAATAGCGATTTTTCGAATTTACAGTTTGCATTTTCGATAATTCGCTACCAGCTTGTGTCACTTTAAAAACGCCAGACCTTTCAATGGGAACATTTTTGGCCTCCAAATAACATATTCGCAAAATATCTGATGCGCTCCAATATTTCTTTTCATTTCCTCCCCTTACATTTTTGAAAACCTGTAGAAGCTTTTCCCACCGCTGAAAGTCTAAACATTATATAACTTTTATTCATTGTCATTGCATTTGAATGATCATATACCTAATCATTCAAATGCAATAGGTCCCCATGACTCCCGACTAAATCCCCATTTAGCATCGTGGGCTTCCCTACTATAAGACACGTTTTTCACTGATCGTACAGAGCCTAGTGTAAGTTTATTTCACTTCTACTCGATCGCCACGGTGACCGCGTTCGGCGTTGCGATTGGCCCGCACTGAAATCTTCACCAATCACAACGCCAAACGCACTCACCGTCGAAAGCGAGTTGATGTGAAATAAACTCACACTCTGGACTGTTTTGATACTTCCATGTGTAATAAATAATGTGATTGCATCTATACGGTTTTACCGTATACATCATTAAATTTATACGTAATAACATTTGTAATGTTAGTTTTTCTCTTTTTTTTTGTTAGATGTTTTAAACTTTTAAAATATATTTTTTTTTTGGCATGATAAAGAAAATGATTATTTATTAAATACTAGCTATAGGTATGTCGGCTATCGCGGTAGCAGCCTATCTTACTTGCTGATAATGTAGCTTTCCATTGGTGAAAGAATATTTAAATTCAGTTTAGTCGTTTAGGCGTGCAATCGTAACAAACAAACAAACTCACCTTCGCAATTATACGAGTAAGTATAGATGACATTAATTGAAATATGAAAAAAAAAGGCCCAAATCTGACCTAAGTACAGTTAACAGTCAATCGTAACTACTCAAATTGTCTTTGAAATTTTACATACACATTGTCAGTGTGCAAAAAGTACATAGAATACCTCTCATTAGATAAAAAGTACTATAAAATAAGGAACATTCAAGGGATGGGTTGAATAAGCTTTGAATCAGACATGATGTTGACGAATTAGGTTGAAGAACCGTACATAGCTCTATGATAACTAATCATTGTATATATAATCATTCTTGGTGCGTCGCAATATCATAGCAGCTTCTAGTTGCATCCTAAGACCATTATGATAAAAGATTTAAAAGGACGTCTCATCTTCAGATTAGATGTCTTCATGTGCCTTTTTGTAGTTTTGTAGTCAGGAAGGAATATGATTTTGAAAACAGAGATTTTAGCTTGACTCCTCACGCGTACTTTAAAGGACTTACTAGGTCTTTAAGAGCAATCGACTTTGTACATTAACTTAAATGAGATTAAACCAAACCCATGATAATATAACAGTAACCATTTAATTGTGTCTGGGTGTAATTTATCTAATATATATGTATTTAAAAATATATAAGTATGTTTATCAGCAGTCTGGTTACCATAGCACAGGCTCGCCTAATTTGGGATCAGACGGCCGTGTGTGAGATGTGTGAAGTCATTATTGTTATAATTGTTTTAGGGCGAAGGTGCACCGACAGTACGTAAAGGTACCTGCGCAAATCACGTGAAGCATGTATCGAACTTCTTCCACGGTCACCATCTTACGATGCACGCTAGGACTGAAGACGATCTCGACGAGAAGGTTATTCTGGACAAATTGGCCAAAGCTGGCTCAGCCTTCAATTTCAAGACAAGTCGGCCGGAGGAACTTCCGCCAAGTGGCCCTGTGGGGACTGTATACCACAAGGTTAATCCAGGTGAGCTGCTACTAAATTATTCGTACATAGTTTAAGCTAGTTATACGTTCAGTTACATGTTCAAATAGTGTTTGGACTTGATATGAGGTGCAAACTCTATATGATTTTGTCAATGACATTATATTGCAGTAATTATGTGTCCAGATATTTTTCGTAATATCCAATAATTCTTTTATAGTATGTCATTCATTACAAAAAAATTGCGTCGTTTTCATAACATACATATTAACTTTTGTACTAATGATACGTTTAGTTTAAAATATTGGCTTAATACAGACATAAAATTTCGTTTGTCGGATGTTTGTATAAAACTTATAAAAAGTTTAACTTTTCTGACCATCCTAAATGAGTCGGTAAACAATTGCAAAAGGATGTGCTACCCTTCTATGACACATTGACATCCTTTTTTAGACCATACACGCGGGTAATTTGCTATTATTGTTCTATTCTTTTGAGAGATTAAATAACCCAACGTCATTCAGTGAAAACTTAAACACGTAATAACCCTGACTGGTCGACAAGTTTCCTTAAGACGACGACCAGAATGAAGTTCTTTATTGGCAATTTGTATTGTGGCGCAATGTTTTCTAATTTGGATTCTAATTGATATTATTTGTTTTACGGCCCATAATGGTGGCTTCTCTTCTACCAAACCGAAAATTAACGGATTCAATAAGGAAGAGGTTTTTATTTTGTATATATTGTTCGATATTTCCATAATTTCAATAAGTAATTCTTTTTTATCTAATCACTCAAAGTGTATCCCATTTAAATGTTAAGAAAAAATTCTAACTTTATAGTTGGAAAATAAATGGTTAAAGAATACAGATTATTAATATTTATCATGATTTATGCGTACTGAAGTCCCTGATACTTTTTGAAAAAGTAATTATTCACCATAGACTAAATTTGTTGTGGTTTTCATAGTACATTTATCCGCTGTCATTCATATCGAACCTACGACGTTTATTTTCTATATGTGTATAGTGTCGGTAATGATAGAAAACTTTTACTATATCAACTAAACTAATTGATCATCAAAACACTATAGTAGTCGTCGAATAAGTCATATTGGCAGTCTGTTTACAATACTTTCGAAAAACAATAGTGCATCATTACAAAGGATTTATTTACTGTTATAATAGTTTTAAAATGTAAATATAAACTTGGCCGTTATTCTTATTAGTGGTACATTGTGGAACAAGACGTATGATATAGTGGTGTAGAAAAAGTGAAATGTAAATCTAGAAAATGACTGGGAATGTTGTATCGCACTGTTATGAAGGCATCATGTTACGAAAAAGTGCGGAAGAAATAAGGAAGAGGAAGAACAGTTTAAGAAGAGGTACAATTTAAATAAAAAGATTTAAAAAAAATAAAACCGCCTAGTGAAGTGGAAAATTTCATAATCGAATTTTGAGTCGATACGTATTGAGAAGTATATCTAGTTATCTTCTATTTTATATAGTATTTGTATAATAATTTGTTGTAAAATAATTTGTGTGCAGTGCAGTAATTTGGGTTTAAGTGTTCATCAACTAGCACTCTTTAAGCCAGGTTATATTTGGAAGTAAATGCTTAGAGATGTCTATGATACATCACAGTCTCCAGCTCTTGTGCTTAGTCGTAACTAAATTATTTTGATTTCTATAAGCTGACGCTAGGACTCTAATGACAGATATCTAATACTAATCTCTCGACAAGTGTATTCGGCCTACCAAACCTTAACAAATATCCACAATTGAGATGCTCGAAGCAGACAGCATATTAAGCCAGCAGGAACATTCAACATTGATGGGATGCTCAACGGATCTTTATGTCTTTTCTCTTTTAATTGTTATTACTTACAACATATCTCACTTAAAAGGATCAGGGGGGGAGTTAAGAACTTTATTATTAAGTCGGATTTCCGTTAAATTCTTGCCATAAGTTACAATACATAAAGCAATTGGGAAGCGCACGAAGCAGCCTATTTTTCTAGACGGAATATATTCCCGTCGCTAGATCGCATGCTTCTGCAACTTGTGATCGAGGTTCGTGGGTTATTTCCTATGGGATTTTTGCTCCCAGACATGTTTAAGTTATTTCCCATACCTATATTCTTTTGTATAATGGAACAACCTTTCATAGTTTTGGATTGTCTCAGTTCAGGCAACCAGTACCTACTGCAGTCAAATGGTTTCTTTCTTAGAGATTTTTAACACTTGAAGCACAGAGTACGAATCCACTGATTGATTTACCATTATTTTATATTATATATATAAAATAATGGTAATATATATATTTATTATATATTTACAAGAGTTGAAAGTTTTCATTTTTCAACTACTGGAACTCGATACCTAAATTTTAAGGAAATATTAATTGTTATTGTTGAATAACCTCTTATATTAACTTGGTTGTTGTTCCAAAACAATCTGGATACAACTAAATACAAAGGTTATGCAAAGTATAAATTTCGTTGTTTCCTACTGAATCAAATGAAAATCCTTTGGATATGTGGTAGAAATTAACTTATATGTTTAATAAATTTTACTGATACTGGACCCCGGTAACTGTTTACTATTTTATCTTCGAAAACTTTATACCCTGTTTGTATTAGAAATTTGATTAAAAAACGATCAAGGTGTAGTAGTATAAAATGTGAATGAAAATTATTTGTATTTTTTTTAAACGAATATGGCCCAAGCAAGCGCAGAAAATGTAGAAGTGCAGGAAACGTAAAATTTTTAAACAATATCTGCCATAAAATTAAATATTTATAATATAAGAGAGCGTTTAATTGACCAGTTATGTACATGTTGATGTGTTTGGTACAAAAGTATATAACGATTTCTAGTGGTTCACTTTTCTTCTACAGGCGATTTCTAGTGGCACATAATATAAATTTAGTTTTTGAGTTGACTAATAAGCACTTTTTTAATAAGAAACACCGTTGATATTTTCACGTATGAAAATAAAATTTTGTTTTCAGTTCAGGAAATAAACTCTAAAGAGAGGGATCAGTTTTGGCTGAAAGAGGAACAAGAAGAAAAGAAACGAGTAGAAGCTGAGCGGAAAAGAAGAGAAGAGGTGTCGTATAACTTTGTTTCGTTATCGATCATTAGCACGTCCACATACACTGCCCCAATATGTGTTGATATCTTAGATTTCAAGAACCTCAGAATTTTCAATCATTGCAGGATACAAATAAATTATTAGAATTCAGATGCATTCAATCTGTTGTGAGGCAGTCCTTGCTGTGCTTGTATTAGTTTTTAGGCAATGCAATAATTTTCCAATAAAAGCCGACTTGAGATATAAAAATAAGTTTTCATTAATCAGGAAAAAAGAAAAGCAGAAGAAGCTGCGAGAAAAAGAGATGAGCTTGAAGCGGAGAGGAGAGCCAAAGCAGAACAGAAAAAGTAAGTAACGTAGTTCCCTTTTGTTTTTCTTAATTTATTTTGATGAAATGTTTAAATGTCAATCTTGTTTACGCAGGAGTGTTGCCCCAGAAGTGTCCCCGTCAGGCGCGCTGAGCCCGAGCGAGGCGCTGCGGCGCCAGCGCTCGGCCGAGGCGCGGCAACTCATCGGCGCCTCCACCGCCGCCGCACGCGCCATGTTCCAGCAGAACTTGGCGCAGGGACAACTCAACGCGCCCAGGTAACTTCATAACCGTGTTCCAGCAAAACTCAACGCTCCCTGTCCCCGATTTGTTAAATGTATGTAAATAAAACCTGTGAACGATTTCTTTGATAGAACAAATGCCGCTACTCCGGAAAAACCGGTCCGCAGTTCGGTGATCGCTCAAAGAATCAACTCATTCACACAAGCACAATCCCCACAATCACCAGTAAAATCGCCGAATAAAGTCGAAGACTTACCGAAGATACCGATTCCTGAGCCCACTCACGCAGAAACCAAGACCAGTCCGTTGAAAAACATAGACAAAATTAAAATGAGTCTCGAAACCCCTTCACAGATACAATATGAACCGATCATTGACCCTTCGACGGACTTAAGTCCGAGCACAGAAACGAACCCTTCGTCGTTTAGTGCCATAAGTTACTCGGAATACGAAGAACAAAACAAATACAGAGATATTGAGCCTTTGAAACAGAGTGAACCGATGATTAAACAGAACATTCTAGAGAATGATATGTTCGATGCGTCTTATTCTAGTTCTAACGAGAATGATGATGACGATAGTGATAATAAGTATAGTACTATTAAGAGGTCGCCGTACAGCAAGAATAATGCCACCGAAGAGACTGAGCGCTCCGAGTTGAGTAGACAGAATACCGTTATAGAGAATGTCAGTTATAAAAAAGAGCCAAATGGGACTACTCTTGAAGGTGAGATTTTGTTAAATATTTATTAAAATACAGTTACGTATACAAATATATAGCTCCAGTTTAATTATTATTATACACATCACCACTAAACGCTACATGAGCATGGATCTAATTAATAATTTTTTTGAGTCGCTGAATTTCAAACTAAGTTAAGTTCATTTTAAATAATTTTAAATATTAGCCAAAAAAAATATCGTTAAGAAATAATAATAAATAATCAAAAAGTATATTTAGTCGAACTTCCTACAACAGAAAAATGTACACGTATTTGCATTTCATTAAATTTAGAGTTGGGTTTTATAAAGTATGAAATTACAACTGAGTTGTCTTAGTTAGAGATTTTTCACTTAATACGGACATAATAAAGTTTTGAATCATTTTACGTTTAAAAAAGTATTTTGTCATTATTTTTATCTAATTGAACTCTTGTCACTTATAATGTATACCGAGACCGACAGTCCTTAATAACCTTATGATGAATCAGCACATTAGGACGACTATGAATCCCAAAGTTTATTGGTCACCTAAAACTGTACATTACAGATGTGTCGCCTGAGGGTTTGGAAGAAAACGCCATATACGAGGACCTTGATGACGACCCTGGACTTGCTGCCAGAGCTCTCTATGACTATCAAGCAGGTAAGATTCGTTACAAAGAATAGGTTGCATTCATCATCATCATTCCAATGTTTCTTTTTTGGGTTGTTGGCCCACCTAGGCCAAGTTTCTACTTTCCTCCTTGGGAACGTGACACAATCCTTTTCAAACGGGACTTAAGAAGGACATTTTGAAGTCGGTTGAACATCATAAAAGACAGGTTTCCTTTTACAGCGGACGATTCAGAGATCACGTTCGATCCTGGCGACATCATCACTCACATCGAACAGATCGACGCGGGCTGGTGGCAGGGGCTCGGCCCTCACGGAGTGTTCGGCCTGTTCCCGGCCAACTACGTCGAGCTGCTGCCCTGCCAGCCGCGCTGACGGAACCTAGCAGCTGTAACGTCTGGGTATGATGCTTCCACTGACCCTGATTCCATGCAACATGTTCGAACACGCTCACATGTACTTTTTGGTTAGAGCTCTGCATATTTAACTAGACATAAATGTACTCTATTATAATATACCCTCATCTACTAGATAAATATGTCGAACTTTAGGCAAAAGGAGAAATTATTAATTAGTAATTTGGACATTATTAACCTGTTCATTTAGATTTATTTAGTTTCATTATCATGTGACATTCTTATTCAGTGATAGTTACGTTGTAGACTTTGTGTAATCAAAGCATTTAAATAACAATAATTCCTTTCATGTGATGACAGAATCTTAATTTGAAATAGTTTGTTTGATTTTATTTATACAACTTAATGATACATTTTTTTCATTTCAAAATTATATAATTAAATTCTAATTAATATAAATGAATAAGAACCCTAACAGTCTGAGACTGATCTTTAAGAGGATAGGTAAGACTGTGTTAGGCGGTTAAAACCCAAAATAGGAACACCTAATTCATTACATAAATTAATCTGTGACAGTTCAAATTAATGAATGGAATAAAATAACAATAAAAAAATAGTTTTAAGAGTACCTTGGAACATAAAATATATTCAAGCTGTCAAATACACAAACAACATATGAGTTATACAAAAATATTATTGTACAAAATCTATTGTAATCTAAATTCGTCGAAGGTTCAGCTCGGCTATTGTCAAACTCATGAAATTCTAATTGTACGACAACAGCAATAAATATCTCATCACACCAACAGTCTTTAATAGTCCACTTCTAGACAAAATAATAAATATAAGTGACTAAAATCCGATCAAAGATATTATGATAAGTAATAGTGGCTAAAGTATGGAAAAGCCAGCGAAATTACTTAGGAGGCATCGGTTTTTGGACGTTTAATATACACATATGGTATGGTATTATTTCACGATATATTTACCTTTAAATACCATAAATAAAACATCCATCGTAATTTCTACTAATATTTATTAAGGTATCATTTTTTTAATCCGAAAGGGCTCGATGGAGTTTGATGAAATTCGGAACACTAATTAGCTTATCCCCTTAGTTGACACAATATTTTTGTAAGATAAAATACATTTTAAAACCGGACTTACAAAAGTGTAAAAAAAAAACAATTTTCAGATTTAAAATATTAGTATAGATTGGACTCTTGGACCTCATTCTAGACTCAGTAGTAAGTTCTTTATCGGTATTATTTATATATCGTTAATACATTTTGCAAGCAGCATTAGGCGTATCAGGATTTACCTTGGATATATGACCATGTGTAGATAATATGTACTGGTTTCCGCATTAATTCTGACCAATTTTATAATTGTCAAAACTATTAAAATATTTATCATTGATATCAAGTAAGTAGATTTAAAGACATTAATAATATTTTTCGAAAAAACTGGTTAGGTCTAGTCGGCCTTTGTCTAAAATAATTTCGACTGTGATGATGCATGATAAAGAATTATTTTACTTGAACGTTTGATAAAATTAGGAAACAGATTTTAACACTTTTCTTGTATTTTAGTCACGCTTTAATTATCGTGTCCCCTTTTCAATAAAAATATTTTCTTTATTGACTGAAGTAACTTTCTCTATTTGGCTTAATTTAGACAGAATTTAGATTAAAATAGAAACAAGGCCAAAAATAAAATACAAACAACTGTTTACAGTTGTCAAAATTTAAGTTTTTTTTCGACGTGAAACTATCAAACCTGTTCTTAACAATTCAATGTCGAATGAAATGTTTTCTATAAGCTGGTAGCGATTTTATTCTCCAGTTTAAAACTGTTTTTATTTTATGTCTTGTCATACCCCTCAACTGACGATACCAGCTGTAAAGTTCTATTTAACCATTGGAACTGATATAATTTTCACTTCTATAACTCGACTACTTAATATACCTGATACATTAAATATCCTATTTTAAAATTCGTACAAAGTTAACATAAAGTGGTCGACTGTGGCAGAACTCGTTAAATAATACAAAAATATTAAGATGGTATTGAGTATTTGTAAAGGACAATTCAAATTTTCGATACATTGTGTATGCATAGACACATAACCTCAAAGTTCATTGTTTTGACAGCTAAAATCGTAATTTTATTAGTATTGATTAAAATATGTGTTGTAAACAATGCCCTTTTATCGTTTATACCTAAAACAAATTGTAAAAACATCACAATAACCGACCGTAAACTAGTTGTTGACCATAATAAAATTATATTCGAAGCAGCGTCTAAGTAATGTAGTTCAGATCATGACATGTTTTGATAGAACATAAGTTTTTACAAGATTACTGCAAACTATTGTCACAATTTGTTTGTGGTTAAAAACTAAGGGTAAATATAGCTATTACATTATATGTGCGTCTGTATGCTCTTTAGGCTTTAATAAGGAAGCTTGTTATTTTATTTCTTAAGTTAATACTGATTATTGAATTGAATATATGACGTATTATTTGTCTTATGTACTGATTTAATGACGCAATAAGTTGTGTATAATTTTAAAGAGCTTAGATAGTTTTAATTTAGTTATGTAGTAAAATTTTTAACTAATTTAAACGAGTCATTTCGACTGCCATTTATTTATGATTTTTAGACATTATTGTTATTTCTAAAAGACTATGTTGCATTTTATGACTTGTGCTAATTTATGTGCAACGCGCAAACTTGTTTGCCAAATATTTTGAGATGTGCTTAATATAATCACCAATATTGTTAATATTAGATTTAACTTTATTCAATGCTTTAAGGTTTATTTACAAAAGCGTACCTACAAGATGAGTTTTGTGACAGCTAGATAAAAAGTAATCATAAAAATATGAATTGAGAATTTTTCAAAGTTAATAATAATTATAGTTTATTTTATCGATTTTCATTATGGCGTCCAGACTTATAAAATTGAAGATTTTACCGAAAATTGGCCAAAGTGAAAGCTAGTAATGTTTTATAGAAGAATTAGTTAACCGTATCGAAGTAGTTATCAATATCAATAGACTGAAATATGTATTTTTTGTTCACAAAAAATATTTGTTATTTGTGATTAGTCATGAGAAAATCAAGACCAACATGTGACATAAAACAACCTTTTTTAACCTAATAAAGAATGTATATAATAAGGAAGACGAAAATTTCTTATTGTATTCGGTGTTATGACCGAACCGACTCGGACTGAGTGACTAATTGATGAAATCGATCCGGTGTAATAAGATTATGGTCATCAAAACTCATCTTTGAAATATATGACTTTGTGTATTTGAACCAGTACTTATAATTTCCACTGCATTTTATTGAAGCTTTTGCCTATGTTTAGCAAAAACCTATATTAATAAGTGTTAAATAATTACATTAATTTTTAAATCCTACCTTACTTTGAACCATATAATTAAATCATATTATATATTATTAAGACCGTGTCTATTCAAAAATAAACAATGGTTACTATTTTGTCACAAAGCTTGTTAATTTCGTTATTACACATATCTGGTGTCAACTGCATAAATAATTGTTTTTGACGGGCTACAGACAGATGCTGACATACCTCAATGGTGAAAGTATGTAGTATGAAAACATGAACTTAAGTGAAATAATGAATAATTGTGTTTTTATTAATTATGCAATGCTATCACGCCATGCTTTTTCTTTTCTCTAAAGTGCACAGGCAGGCGAAATGTTATTACGAACAGGACAGTGACAGGAGGGATTCCATAGGACAATATTATCTTCACTAGAAGTGAAGTGTTCGTAACCCTAAATTTGTATCAGATTCATCTTAACTTTGAAGATTCTATGCCAATATCTGTTTTAAATTTGTATCTGCCTGTAGTTACTGCTGTATCAATTTTAATAGCAATTGGTTTATTAATAATATGTACTGAATGAAGTCACAAACTGTATTCAATTGTACAGTAACAATAGATGAAAATTCGAACACTACACATTTAGTATTTGTTTTTCCTTGTTTTAATCAATATTGTACTATTATATTTAAGCAGCATATTTGCATCATCGATGATAATGGACTAGTAACATTATTTAATGTATAGGTACCACAAGTTTTTATGAGTTGCAAAATAATAGGTCTGCCTATTGTTCGTTCTATTCAGATGTTTAGTGAAGGCTCTTGACAGAACTGGATAGTTACTGTACAGTGATAATGCTTATAAATAAAACAAAAAGTTTTGTTTTTATGATACAATCTACAGTAATAATGTAATACACATTGTTGTAGATTTTGATAAATAGGTATTCTTGAGAGACTTAAAGCATGTTATTGCTAGTAAATTCCGATTTTTATGTAAGTCTTAAACTTACTTAAACAATATTATTGAATTGTTTCATTGTTCAGATAAGAATGCATACAAATAAAATGTCGTGTTACTCGTTTAATTCTGGAGGCTGTACCTAATATTTTTAAACGCCATGAACATAACTAGTCTGATAATGCCGAGAATCATATTTGTAACGATTGCTTTGCGTACTTTTCTGCTGCAAAACGGCTTACGTAAGTTACGCATAGCAATCTCCTTTGATTTATATAATAGCATACTACTCTCGTGTTTGTCGTTCCTCAAAAACGTTAATTACCAAATCAGCAGTTCTATGAAACAAGATACACACAAATATGATACCATACTCCTTGTATCATAGAACTGCATTCACAGACAACTGCATTCACATTTTTTGACAAATTTCTTAGAAGTTTTCCCTGTCTTTGTAAATCCAGTCCAGAAAAAAAGTATGTTAGACTCAATGTGCCCCAAATAGGAGATTATCTAAGACTAAGCTTCGCCTTTACCCCTTCTATATACATAATAGATTTAAGTCGTGTAAGTGAGATGTATTTTTCGTATTATGTTAAAAGTGTATGTTTTCTGTACCTATATTATTGCAATATGATTTTTATGTGTATGGTGCTCCATTGTATTGTAATTGTAACAGATTTACAATTGTATCCTAATATTTAAAAAATAAAACTCCTAGATACCAGATATACGACTTTTCTTTATCATTTCTGCAAGTAAGTGCAAGGTGTACTACTAATACTGCGCCGTGTGGTGCCGGCCGAGTACAGCTTCATCCACCTCTCTTCGTGGGTGTCATGAAAGTCGAATAAGGGATCATATACTAGAGGATGCGCAGCAACATCCTAACTGAGCACATTACCATCTTACTGCGATCGCCGACCGCATGCCAAGCGTGACGAATATGGCAAAAAGCCCCCTTATGGCAAGCACAACCAAAAATCCGCCCCTAGTCCCCGGTGCCCCTGCTGTTCTTGGCTATTGGGAAAATGATGAAATGAAATTTCATTTGGGGGAGGCCTATGTCCAGCAGTGGACGGACGGAAGAAGGCGATACTACTACTTGTGTACTAGGTAAAGTTTGTCACTTAATGGTAAGTAAGAACCGCCGTCCATGGACATTTGCAACTCAAGTCATAAGTGCGTTGCCGCCTGTAGAGTCCCCTGCAGAATTAGGGTGAGGGGAGGTTTGGGGCTGCCTAGCCTCACTCACTCTCTTGAAAATTACAAAAAATGGCATAACATCGGTTTTCTGCGAGGCTGTAATGAGCCAGCCCATTTGTGCTGAAGTATGGCTCTGCCACGGTCCAGCGCCCTGAACGGCAATACCAGTGTAGCAACATGCACATACAATAAAATGTCTCGGCGCTTCCTACCGAATCCATCTTAGAACTACTGACCCTATTTATATCAAATCATCATCAAGCTTCACATTTGAAACTATATCAAATGAAATGTGAAACTCCTCGAGCCAATAAGCATGTTTAAAGTACTTTTCAAACATCAGCCGTCGGGCCGCCGTCCGCGATGAACACAGAAGACATCTGCTTTTCTACATCAGCTCTGATCTTCTGAGGATTTTCATTAAACTAATGTTAGAAAGATTGTATTCAAAGTTAAATAAAAAAAACTTATAGTTTAATTTCAATTCATTATTAACAAATATAATACTAAATAATTAACTTAAAATATTCAAGTATATTAATCGGTGAGCAGTTTATCTCTGAACTGTGGTCCCTCTCAAGATGTCTGCAAATACGCCATGTCGAGGCAGTGGAATTTTGTTTACTATGTCAGGAACAACCTAAAACAAAATACTGATATGTTATATACAATAAGTACTTGTAGGCATGTGTTTTTAAAACCAAACCGAAATGTTAATTACCTGTGCAGACATTAACAAATCTTTAGATCAGCTTTTTAAATTGTTTAATAATTGATCTCATTTTAAATATAATTAATAAGTGTTATTTCTGTTGTTTGAAAACTCTAAATTAAACTAAAAATCACAAAAAAATAGTTTGTCCTGTCAAGTACTAAGTTTTCAGAATAGGAAACGTTGTTTGACAGGACCAACTAATTTTTTGTGATTTTAGTTTAGTTTAGAGTTTCCGAACAATAGAATTAGCACCATTATCTTAAACAGAAAGTAAAATTCAAAACAATCCTTGTTAACATCTGTTTTGAATTTTATGCCTTGTTTCTAGGTATCAAAGTTCTAGTTCTAGGTACTCAACTAGGATACAATAAATATGAAATGCATGATTTAGTTAGATTATTTTCTTATGAGGGCTATTCAGAAGAAGCTGACTCATCTGTAGTTCACGATACATCTTGCTGCTCTTATTTTTCTTAGACATCTAGACAATGTTTCGAATGGCAAAAAATTCACATCACATCAACAGCCTTTAATAGTCCACTGCTGGACATAGGCCTCTCCTTAGAAAGAAGAAAGAAGGCAAAAAATTATTATATATTAAAAAACAACCTCTCTTACAAGGGATTTTATGAATTAATATTAATAAATAAATACTTTGTGTGGCAAACATGTTTCATTTATAAAAGGAACGTCTTTGTTCTGGGTGCCCATCCTTATTTTATAACATTACTAGCTTTTCCCAAAGCTCTGCCCATGTGTACTCGCTAACAATCTAGCTTTACATTGCTCAAAGAATTTTTTAAATTGGTTTGGTGGTTTAGGTGTGAAAGTGTAACAAAAAACATACAAACCTTTATGAGATAAGTATATTATAATATTTTTACACATCTCACATACCAACATGCCAGTTTGGATTATACAACATTTTTTGTTCGTGGGATAGTCATATATTGGCACCAATTTGATTATATCGTATTGTAACCGAAAATTGAATTGGTAATCTGCTAGTCTTAGTAATACTTTACTATTGACCTGTCTGCTTGTTTGCCCCCCTCATCATCAAAAGCCTTTAGTAGACCATTGGCTAGGCATAGGCCTCTCCTTAGAAAGGAGGTTTTGGCCTACTATATCATAAAATCGTTTGCCTCCCTATATCATAATAAAACAATTCAACTATTTGTGTTTACCTTGACTCTCACTTCTCGGGGCATAAACTCGTGGAAGAACTCATAGAATTCAAAGTGGGTCTTCACGACCTCGAGCCTCGCCAGTTCGTGCTTGAGCACGTCCACCGCGTCCACAGGGGCCACGGTATGTCTGCGCAGGTCTTTGGCGAAGTGGTATATTGTTTCTACTAACTTTTCAGCTCGAACACGCGCTTTGTAGTCATATCTGGAATAGAACGAATGTAATATAAACGCGTTTAAATGAGATATTATATTATACAAATCCTTTAAAAAAAAGTTGAATCGACTTCATACAATATTAACAAAGAGCACTAGAAACCTAGCAGCAATCGCGGTTGATCTGCTGTCATTTTTCCAAGAGTTCCATTGTCTGTCTCCGAAACGCATCATGAGATCTATATGAAATTTCAATGGGACCATTTTGGAATAAACCCCTTTCGAACAAAAAAAGAATTTTGAAAATCGGTGTATATATAACGGAGTTATGCAACGAGTTATGAACATACATAAAAAAATATAATAGCGAATTTATAACCTCCTCCTTTTTGAAGTCGGGTAAAGCCAGATACAAAGTAAGATCGTCGTTGCTGTAAGCAATAAAGTGGTGTCGTTAGACTTTGTATAATGAAACTAACCAGATTCTTCAGATTAAAATACAACAGCATAAAAGTAAACAAATTGTTGTGGAATCTATATCCTTTGACTTATATCCTTATTTCTTTCTCTCTATATGTCATTAAATGCTCCTTAATCCTACAATCCTAATCCTTAATACCAACAATAACAGTTAGTGTTGGTTAATATACATATTTTTAGGGTATGATATAGTAGCACTTTACTTGCACTAAGTATCTATCCAGTGTACTTGTAATACCTGATACAGATAACAGGAGAAAGTCACAAAAAAAAGATAGATATATATATACTCACTTTGATTCTAGTTTGCCTTCCAAAAACTTATACAGTCTTTTAGTAATCCACGATGCGTTAGAAGGCTGGAATCTCTTAGGTGGCTTATACTTCATGTCCTCGATCACTTCAGAAGGTAACTCATCAAACAATATGGATTTCAATTGTTTCTTTGGTTTATTTGAGGTAGGTTGGGGTCTTCGAGGTGGTGGTTTTGAGGGCACTTTGAATAAGCTCATAGTATCTCGTGTAGGAGGAGCTTTTAAAGAGTTTCTTATAGCTTCTTCCTGAAAAACAGATGATAACAGTTTAATCATTTTCACGATATATTAGCGTCTATTAGTCTAGAAATTGTGGGTTTGATTACCGCCCACAACAAATAATTTGAACTGGACCTTCCGTGCGTTCTACAGATCGTCAAAACATATAATAATGCAACACCTGATACAGTTGCGGTAGGACCATTTACTCTTTGAAGAGGAACCCTAACGGTTTCGAAGTAGATGCCCAAACCAAGTAATAGACAATCATTTACGCTCTAATATAATAGCGATATGTTTAAAAATAAATAAACTTACCATTTTTAAATTCTTTTCAAGATTTTTCTGCTTCATCTTTTGTAAATATGTTTCTAATGTCGTCTGTCGCGTTCTTCTCGATATCTCGTGATCTGATTCCATCGTTACATCAACTTCACTATGAGAATCTTGAGGATACTCCGTAGAGTTTGCTTGTGGTAGTAATACTGTTTCGGATTGTATTGTCTGCACATTCTCGCTTTGTTTTGCGGATTTCTCCATCACAAGCGCTCTTAAAGATTTCCGTGGAGTAAAATCTTTGCCAAACGTTTGTCTTAGTGTCTTTCGTGTGGTTCTGTGCGAATCCCAACCCGAGCCATCAGCACTAGAATCACCTGCAGATAATCCTAGACTATCTCTAGGCGGTGCCAAACTAGGTTTTATATTTAAATCTTTGTACATGGTATTAGTTTCCCTGATACTGGTGTTACGACCTTTGGAAATAAATGAAATCTGTTGTTTAGTTTTGTCATGAAGAACTAATTCTGGAGATTTTATTTTCGTCCTATTTCTGCCAGTTGTGTCGTGTGTGACATTTGGCGATTCTTCTATAACTTCATCACTAGAAATAACCCTAGATTGAACTTCTTTTTCTTTGTTATCATCGTCATCTTCATTGCTTTCTCCGTTTTCATCATCTACTTCGTTTTCGTCATCACCTACTCCAGTATCTTCATTTTCATCACTATCTTCTGCATTTTCTCTAATTTGATCATTCTCTACTTCGCTTTGAGCGTCCACGACATTTTCGTCGTTATCAGCTTCATCCTCATCATAATCTACTTCGCTTTCTTCACATTCAACCTCTTCTTCATTTGCATCGTTATCTGTTTCATTATCTTCGTTTTCTTCATTATGCACTTCGTTTTCTTCACTTTCATCACTATCCGATTCGATTTCTTTATTTTCATCATTATCTAGTTCGTTCTCTTCATTATTATCACTATCTACTTCGTTTTCTTCATTTTCACCATTACCTAATTGGCTTTCTTTAAATTTAGCATCTACCACAATTTCACCTTCTAATTTTTTTTCTTCACATTCACCATTATCTGATTGGCTTTTTTCACATTTAGCTTCTGCCTCAATTTCATCGTTATCTAATTCTTCTTCATTTTCACTATTATCTAATTGACTTTCTTCAAATTCAGCATCTATCTCAATTTCATCGTTAACTACTTCGCTTTCTTGATTTTCATCATTATCTACTTCGCAGCCGTCATCTTCATTTTCATCATCACCTTCTTTATTTTCTTCAAGTCGGTCATTATCTACTTCATTTTGATCTTTATCTACTTCGCTTTCTTCGTGTTCAGTATTTGTTTCATTTTCATTATCATCTACTTCAGTTTCTTCAGGTTGACCATTATTTAAACTGCTTTCTTCATTTTGATCGTTACCTATTATTACGCTTTCTTCACATTCATTATTCACTTCATTTTCTACAGTTTCATAATTAACTATTAAGTTGCTCTTTTGTTTAACAACACCTGTGTTTTCTTCATTTTCATCGACTGCCATTTCATCGACCTGACCATGACCGACTTGTTCAGACACTTCATTTGCTTCAATAACTTTATTTGTATCAACACATTCATCTAATTCTTGGTGTACTATGCTTTTATTAACAAGTTCCAAGCTTTTTTTAGGTTCGTTATCACTTTTTGCACTAATTTTATTATCATTACTAAATTCTAGCTTAGTGTTATCACAATTATCTACTTCCATTTCTTCCTGATAATCTTGTTCAGACACTCCATCTGTGACAATAGATTTATCAGCATCAATATTTTCATCTATTTCTTGTTGTCCTTCGCTTTCATACGTCAATTTTAGACTTGCATTTGATTCAGTATCACTTCTCCTGCTAGCTTTATCATCATTATCAAATTCTAGGCCAGTATTATATATATAGTCCATTTGTTTTTGTTTGGCTGTACTTTTGTTAGTTAAATCATCATTCTGTTTGCTTTCATTTTCCTTATCATCTGCTGATTCAGAATTAGAATTTTGATTTTTAATATCTTGATTAACACATCTCAGATCACCGCGTTTGTTATCAACCACTTCACCTACATCTTGGCTTACGTTGTATTTTTTCCTAACCATCTCTTCTAGGTTCAAAGAGATTTCTTGTTTTTTACCTTCATCAGCTTGGTCTTCTAATGCTTTATCATTTTTTATTCTCTTAAGTAAACTTTGTTTTGACTGGACTTGTATATCAGAGACTTCATGTTCACTATCTGACACAATAAAGTCAGCAAAAATATTCTTACGTTTTTTAGCAGGTCTGTTACCAAATATATTTTTAACTGGTACTTTTGGTTCTGCAACAACATTTTCTGTTGTCTTATCTAAAGTTGTTTTGTTGGCAGATATGTTTAGTAATGCTGAAAATGCTGGTTTTGACTTTCTAGTGCCTTGAAATAACTCCTTAGTGCCTGCCGTAATTGTCTTATCATGGAAAGTAGTGTTACTCTTGTGTAGTTTGGTTAACGTATCTCTCGCGCTAATAAGTTGGTCAAATTTCCTTTGTGATTTATTCTCTTTTTGTTTGAATAGTTGACGTTCGGTAAGTTTTATGCTTTGAATTGATTCATTATCACTACTTTCTGGTAAGTCTAATGAAGAATAATTTTTGTCCTCTTGGCTGTAAATAAAAAAAATATTGTCAAAAATGAAAACACAGTGGATACATAGTTGTTAGGCACTATACCATTTGTTTTTTTTTTCAAAGTATAAGTATTATATCCCTTACTCATCATCGTTACTCTTTGGACTAACATTTGAGAATCGATCAATAAAAAAAAAACTTTAAATACATGAGAAATGAATATTCTGAGTGGTCAGTATCTTGGTAGTAGCAATGTTGTGAATGTGCATTCATCTTTATTATTAGGCTATCGCACTCCACTGTTGGACATATGCCTCTACAATTGCACACCACTTAGACCAATACTCGGCTTCTCGGTTAAGAATGTTTAATATAATAAATAATAATATAAAAACCTAATAATTTCAATATCACTGATTTCTTCAACAGAATTGTTGGAGTCTGTTGCTTTGTTGTCCTCTAACACTTCCATGAAATCTTGTGAGTTCTCATTCAAATTTTTCCACCAGCTTTTACCTAAAAATATAAAGCAACACATTTAGTGGTGTAAATTGACCATCAAAATACATTAAATAGCAGTAATGATCACACTTGAAATCTTAAAAACAATATGGCCATGAACTTTGCTAAGATATTTTGGTTCAAGTGTTTGGTTGGGTTTTGTCCAACTGAATTAATACAAGTATATAGATTAAATGGAGGAGGTAACAATAAAGTTGTTATCTGTGAGTTTTAATTATAGGTAAAAAATAAAAAAAAAACGTGAAAATAATTGAAATGGCCACACAGACCACTCCATAAATGATATTTGATGCTCTAAACAGGACAATGATTTGTGGGATTCATAGTTTTTTTAATTGGTAAATCACACTAATCAGTTATCGTGATTCTCAAAGAATTATAAAACATTTGAAATTATTGAATTGTGATGCAGTATTAACATCACACATTTCATGCAGGGCCATCTGATCCCAAAATGGGTAGATCTCTACTATGGCAACCAGACAGTGGATAAACATACATATAAGTATGTTTATCCATTGTATAATACATGCATATGTTTACATAGTTTAAATGAAGTTACTTATATTCTCTTAAACTATGAGAGTAGTAGTATAGAGTAATTCAAGAGGCAGATTTATATGTATCATCAACTGCCTTTAATATTACACGGCCCGACAAAACCATGGTTTTGTGCACATTGCAAACGATGGCTTAACGTAACAAGATAGATCAAAATACTATAATATATTACAGAATTCTATATATACAAAAAAGTCTGTGATGGTATAGGTCTATCTCCCACGGAGGATAACCAAGGATAACCCACAGTAACCATTTTCACCAATCATTTCATATTACAAAAAAATTGTGGGTTATTTAGGAAGCTGTTTTGAACAATGTGTTATTCCATAACAAGTAAATACTTTAGATACATTGCGCATTAAATGTAGGTCAAAGTTGCCCTTTAAAGATTACATCAAATTATGCAGGAGAACAGCACTGCAAACAGAAGGCCAGCATGGTATAGAAGGCCAAAACCTCCTTTCTAAGGAGAGGCCCATGTCCAGTAGTGGACTATTAAAGGCTGTTAGATGATGGTGATAATAAGTTTAGGTGTTTAGAAGTTGGCACACTATTTAAACTACTAGTCTGAAAATAATCGCTATACTCATGAAACTATGCATAGGAATAGAAGAGCACAGCAATTTTAAAAAATTTATGCTTAAGTTTTAACTCACCTTTAACTTCTTTTACAATTAAGTTGAAAATAATGAAGCTTAACAAAATTTAATGAGAGCTGGCCAAAGTTTAACTGACTAAAGTTACTAATGACATCGGGCACTAAGTTTTATTCAGTTTCAAAATTAAATTGTTCTGAGTAGGAACAGCAATTGAGGAAACACAGTTATGTAATGATATGCTTGTTGTATGTTATATTGCTAGTTTATATAGGTAATGTATTTACTTACGTCGTGGCTCATCAATATCTGTATTATCCGTTAACACCGACCATCTGGACTTCATTGGGGATATTGAAAACGACTCCATATTATTGTCTTTAAATTGGTCTATGACCGACGTTAGCCTTCCAGAGGCATTAGAAAGCGCCGGAGAACACACACTGCGGCTTCCACGAGGTTTGTGTCGTCGAGGGGTGGTGCTACCCTGTGATCGAGATGGCGAAGGTATCCTTGTCTTCGGCATTTTTTAAGCAATTCCAAACCTGAAATATATAAATATTGATTACAGATTATTATTTACTGCTAGTTTTAGGCTTACCTAAATCTTGTAAATTTCAAGTAAACACCACTCTTGTTTTTCTACTCCATTGGTAACTTCATTCGAAGCCCCAATGGCGATCTCGTTTTATTCCGTAACTTTTCTTCTAATGAATTAAATTATATAGACGTATCTAATTAAAGTAAATATGACGTATGGAACAGTAAATTACACATAATTTTAAAAAAGACGCTATGATGGATTCCAATTTTTGTTATGAAGTACTTACTTTAACAATTTCACATAAGTTTTATAACTATTCATTAAAAAGTGTGCTTTGCTAGATCCGTGAGTAAATAAATCACACGATGCACCCAGTTAAATAATAAAAAAAACGAGCAAATCCACAGAAAAACAAAACAAAGTGTAAAACCGTTATTGTTTGAAGTTTTAAACTGACGTTTGAATAAACTTTTTTAAGTTACGTGTCATTTTGACACTATATAGCTTTTATTTTTCAAAAAAAGATTGAAAAAAGATCATTGTAAAATTAATGTACCTACTAATTAATTAATATTTTGTTAAGAATAACATATTCCATTTTTTTAAATAGATAAAGAAATAATATTTTAAATGATAGTTTTATTTTGCACATCGTATAATGGAACGGAGCAGAGAAAACTTGCCATGTATGCATAAAGAGAGCTCGCCAATCCCACCAACCCAATGCTTTGAGGTGTTATACGGTGCGAGGGAGATCGCTGCATGCAGAAGCCCTCCCTATCTCTATCTCACTGCATGTATATAGAAGAATTAAAAAAGAGGAAGAGAAGACCTCTGCAGGCATCGGTCTCTCTCGCACTGTGGGATACGGTGAGACTGCCCTTGCGTGCTCTATTCTTATATTACGTACTAATGATCTGCCCCGGCTTCGCACGGGTGCCATGTAGATACTACTACTAGTAGATAAACTACGAATGTGGTGTCAGGTTATTATTATGATAGGACTATACTACAGGACATTTTTAAGTGCAATATTTATAGGCTCGCTCCGATCCTGCTGCTGCCACCCGGGACGGACGTACTGCTCGACGGACATTGGGCCCTCATTTTAAACCCTTAACATCTTCTAATATATTCATTTTAATGAGATGCTGTAAAGAGCTTTTAATCTAGATTTTAATCTACATTATGGGTGGGTTATCCTTAGGAGATAGACATATATCAACACGGACTTTTTTGTTGATCTTTTTAAGATATACAATTCCGTAGTACATTATTTTGTTCTATCTCGTAAGATTTAGCCAGCGTCTGTATTGAAAGCACAAAAAAAACATGTTTTTTACAAAAAATCTTTGAAATTCTCGAATTTTTCCTACTACAATATGCATGTATTATACAAATAAATCTTCCTCTTGAATCACTCTCTACATTTGTAAAAACCGCACTAAAATCCGTTGCTTAGTTTAACATATCTAAGCGTAGAACACAAAATGTAGATAGATAGTAGAAATGCTCAAGTAATGTGGTTTGTAAGGTATGTCGTTGTGCTGGTTATGTTAATTTTTTTCAGTTAAAAGCAGCAGGCAATTGCTTTTCTCAATTGCTTTACATAAATATTAATTATTTTTGCATCACAGTCTTCTCATGAATAAATGAAACTTAAAACTAATATAAATTGCACAGGCGCTTTAAAAAATTATAATAATGCTAGCTTATAGTGCTCTATAGGCTATCAATATCTGTTTCTTATAATTATCTGTTAACCTAACATTTAGGGATTGGCAATTGAATTTAAACTGATTATGATATAAAATATACCCTACTTATCTATCTTCGCTACAAATCACTACAAACACGCATATTTGTACATAAACTAACGCTATTTTTCCTCAGAAAAAGGGGGGCAGGCAAATGTTAAAAGGACTGGAGACCACGTCTATTAAAGTTGCTACTACTACAAATGTCTCATCTATGGGCTCTTCATGTTCTTCGTCTGCTTCTTGGAAAGCAAATTCCCTACGGTACCAACGTTGTGTCTTGAGGTAAATTACAAGAAATGGTCAATATGTGGAAGGACTATGAAGAAGTAATAAAAGTGTTCAATACTTTTAATAAGTTGGTCTAGTGTTTAGTGACCCTAACTGCTAAGGCAGAGGTAGTGGGTTTAATTTTCACCCAGCACTATTCATTTTTTCTATATCTGGGCGTATCTAATCTATCTATACGTTTGTATATAAAAAATTATATGACTTTGTTTATCGCCAATCTAGTTACCATATTACAGGAGCAGAGTGGCACACCGTGTGGTTTTAGTCGGTCCGATTCCGAGAAACGACCCCGCCGCAACGTACGTAAAAAGAAATAAAATTACAGACTTTAGTTTGGGATCAGACGGTCGTGTGTGAAATGTTTGATGTTATTATTATTTAATATTTCAATTATAAGTTGCCATTTGGTGCTGGACTAGTATGCATATCATGCAGCATGACTTGATATTCGAAACTTCTAAAGGATTTTATTTACTAGAAGAGGATAAGAGCTTGGGGAATTAGCAATGGGTTATTGGATTGGGAGATTTATTCATGTGTCATTCATTTTCGGTGATTAATGACATTACCTCGAGAGTCTCATTAATTATAATGCTTCGACAGATGGGTCGTGTACTGAATTCAACTGAAGGGGACATTTCACAATGACATGTGCAAGTAGAAAATGTTTTCGGTCTTACATTTACAAGTTGAATGAACTTTTTATGGTAGGTGGAATAAGTTATATTAAAATCGACTTATGCCATGTTTTGCAATTGCAGTGGGTAAGTACTTTTTTTGATAAAAATTTCAATTATACGTATATTCTTTTTATTTACAGAATACACAAAGTTGTTGCCAAATTAGACGAGGAAATTATTGCTACTTTTAAATCATATTCATATGATGAAATGATTTGTTTTAATCACAGCGATTACACATGTATTTGTGATTTCGACATAGACAAAGATAAATGGCATTAAAATCAATCAAAACTCTTTTAATCACAGATTACAACCTTTTCTTGTTTTTTGTTATATTTAGACCTTTTGAACGTGATCTAACGTGATTATAACAATAAGTCGCAGTAGACTTGTAAATTAGTTATATGTGGGATTATATGATTTATCGCGTGTTATTGTGAATTTATGCCATCCCTAATATAAATACTTTACTTACTTATCATCTTTTAACTAATTTATTCCTTTTTGTTAATGTTTTACCTTTATTTAACTAGTACTTAGTTATGAATTTTGAACTTTATGAATACAAAAACTTGTTTAAATGTTTAGTAAATAGTTATTGATATGTTATGTAAAGTTTAAAAGAATCCTGTTTCATAGCAGCATTTATTTTATGTCTGATTAAAAACAAAATGTTTACCGCTCAAAAACGTCAGTCACATTTTTGATCGGTAAACATTTTGTTGTGAACACTGGTGAAAATATATCTTGCTTGCACTTAAGGATGAAATTCTAGTCACGTATTACGTCATTGAATTTATGCTGTCAATTTAGGGTTGCCATCCATTTGAAAAATCGTCCGCCTTTCAGCTTTGGGAAACAGACGACGGAGTATTTATCAATAGCAGGAGTCAGAAGGCTGCGATATTGCGATTAGTCGTGCCCATTTTTCTATTCTTGATTGAATAGCATACTGAGGACATTAAGTGATTGGTGAGACTGTCAGATGCAGATGGAGTCAGATTGTAAACTCTATCGTAATGTATTAGCTCATTGTCGTCTGTAAGTTTGTGTATCAATGTTTACTAACAATAGTTCAATAGTTTCAAATATTATAATCTTTTTTTTTTGTTATGACATATTGGTAAAGCAACCTACATATGATATGTTTTGTATTATTTACAAGTTAAAACCTGAAGTTTATTAATAATATCAAGAATAAACTTCAGGTTTTAACATACTTAATAATCTTATTAGACTATCATTAAGTGCTGGGCGCCTGGTGATTGGTGACCCGTTGCACAGCTATCCCAAGTATATAGCGGTCACTAAAGTGGTATAGCGTACCAGCATTCGTGCTGAGAAAATACACAAATTCCTAATAGCATAAACACCACTCGTTTTTCAGTCAGCATTCCCGTATTCTCTTTTCTGTGCTGCATTAATATTAACAGCTCTTTAAAGCAAAATCTTTCATAAATAAGGTTTTAAGCAGCGGAAAGCACAATATCGTTTTATTAAAAGGGGATTACAGCGGTTACTTAGTTAAAATAGAATGGATTAAGAATAAGTTTCATCACAGGCTTGTAAGGGCTAGTATAAAGGTACTTGGCTTCGGCTCCACAATCCTCAATTTATAAACGATTACCTGCGTTTGAAGGATTAGCTTCTTTGTTTCTTAAATCCTTTTTAAAATAGAGATCTACTGTACTCTTATAATAGGTAATAAACATTTTGTTTGATATGATAATAAATCCTTTTTTAAAAAAGTTGAACCGACTTCAAACAATACTAACAAAGAGCACTTAAAATTAAAAATAATTATAAATCTTATTGAAAAAATTAATACAGCTGCAAGTTTGAAGTCGATGCTAAGCCAACTAGGTATTGACAGCCAAATAGATATGTACTCGTACTTGATAGACTAGATTAATGCAGCGCAAAACATACTAAGCGAGCCAAAGTGGGTTACGAACATCTCAAATGATATTATTATTTTAAATGCTTTATCAGAGCTGATATTAAGCTGACATAGACCCTGATATCGGCCCTGGTACCGTACACTTCGTAAGTATATGTAGGTACGTGTGGATACACATTAGCAGTACCCGGAAGA